CGAGGTGGACCTGAGCCGAGCGTCTGATAAAGTAGGGAAATCCTAAACGTCTTCGGTTCTATGGCCGCCAGTCAAGGACCACTCAACTGGGTTCAGGGTTTAGGGTTTAGGGTTTAGGGTTTTCGGGTTTGGGGTTTTAGGGTTTAGGGTTTCAGGGTTTTAGGGTTTAGGGTTTAGGGTTTTAGGGTTTAGGGTTTTTAGGGTTCTGGGGTTTAGGGTTTTGGGGTTTTAGGGCGGTTCAGGGTTTTAGGGCGGTTCAGGGTTTGGGCCCCCGACATGTAGGGTCTGAGACTCAGGGATGCAGGCAGTTGAGGGCAGGCGGCTGGTTTAGGGTTTAGGGTTTAGGGTTTAGGGATTTCAGGAGCTTGTTTGAAGATCCGAAGAGCAAACAGAAGATCGGGGACATGTGCCACAAACGAAGCACCATGGGCTGACACCCGAAGCCCTGGAACCAAGGGCCCAAGCCTGGACCCCTAAAACCCCGACAGCCTAAACCCCAAACACCTAAGACCTAAGACTTGGACCTAAGACTCCGAAATCGAGGTCGGCTCCATCATCACTTTCACAGTCCTCTGGAATCGGCCCTTTGGCAGGTCTTGGTTTAGGGTTTAGCTTCAGTGAAGATTTGGGAGGAATAACTCACATGGTCATGACACATGTAGAGTCGGCGGGCTGACATGACGGTTGCGATGCAAGTTTTTGCCATTGCATGAAGTCCCCTGCGATGGGTGGAGATGTTCCGCATGTACATGCGGTGTGGAGTTGTCACTGGCAGATGTTGCTGGACTGAGAGTTTGCAGTGGAGTATGGTCTTAGAACTCTAAACCCTAAGCTCTAGGACTCTAGGGCTCTGGGGTTTGAATGCTTGCGGGACTTGATGGTGTTTTGTCTTTTGGGGTTCAAGGTGCTGCCTGCCTGTTGCAGGCTTCGCTGTGACAAGGCTTTCAACAAAATCGGCGTTTGTGGATGTTTGGTTCGGATACGTAGGATTGCGAGGGTGACGAGGGTGCGGGATTTGGACGAAGCCTCTGACAATCACCCAAACCCTAAACCCTAAACCCTAAACCCTAACCCCCCCGAGAGAACCCGAGGCTCTCTTCTGCCTTCACCTCTCTGAATGAAAATATCAACCAGCCGGTGAAGGCCGTGAGTGCCTTGGCCTCGAGAGACCGGGGCCCGAAGCCTCGCACATGTTACTTGTGTGCTTGCTTCACTGGTAGTAATCATAGTAATCATCATAGGAGTCTTTCAGTAGTCAGTAGTCATAATAATAACAATACAAATCAGGTTGTTACCAATACTAATACCTGATAGCAATCGTAATCATCACCTTTGACTTCTGCTGTTTAGGAGAGCGCTTTATGCCATCTCGTGCCACAGAAACGCAGACCAGGTTGAACCGTCTCAAAAGCCTGCTAGAATTGCAGAAGGCTGAATAGGTAGGGGGGTGGTTGAGGCGCCGGGCAGCGAGTCTTTGAGATCCTTGACCTGGAGCCAGACATCCCGGAGGAGCTCCAACACCTCGCAGCACGAAGGTCTGGTCAGGTTTAGGACTTTAGTCGAGCTCTGGGTATTCGCTGCCGCAATGCCCGACTGAATCCTGATGTTCGGGGCCCTTTGCGAACATGTGAATCTGTGAAGCACCTGAGGAGGAAGGCGAGGCTTTCCCTGAGGAGTCGAAGCAGGCCCAACACCAGCATGGAGCTGAACATGCACGTGGTTGCAGTTCATCGAGTGAAGTCGGCCGAGCGATCACCCATTCGCATGGGCATGGCTCCTGTACATTATGCTGCTGTGAGGTGGGCATTCGCTTCGAGAACGTGGAGTACGCGTACCTGTCAAGACCGGACAAGAAGGCCCCTGCGGATCATCATCATCATCATCACCATCATCATCATCATCATCGTCATCGTCATCGTCATCGTCATCGCCATCGTCGTCATCTTCATCATCATCATCATCATCATCGTCATCGTCATCGTCATCATTATCGTCATCATCATCATCATCATCATCGTCATCGTCGTCGTCATCGTCCTCATCATCATCACCACCATCATGATCATCGTCATCGTCATCGTCATCGTCGTCATCGTCGTCATCTTCGTCATCATCATCATCGTCATCGTTATCGTCATCGTTATCGTCATCGTCATCATCATCATCATCATCATCATCATCATCATCATCACCAGCGTCATCATCGTCATCGTCATCGTCATCGTCGAAATCATCATCATCATCGTCATCGTCATCGTCATCATTATCGTCATCATCATCATCATCGTCATCGTCGTCGTCATCGTTATCATCATCATCATCACCACCATCATGATCATCGTCATCGTCATCGTCATCGTCATCGTCGTCATCTTCGTCATCATCATCATCATCGTCATCATCATCATTGTCGTCATCGCCATCATCATCATCATCATCATCATCATCATCATCACCAGCGTCATCATTATCATCATCATCATCATCATCATCATCATCAGCGTCATCATCATCGTCATCATCGTCATCATCGTCATCGTCATCGTCATCATCATCATCATCATCTTCCTCATCATCCTCATCATCATCTTCCTCCTCATCATCATCGTCATCATCGTCATCATCATCATCATCACCCCAGTCGGCATCGCCAGAACTGTACCAAGGACAACAAACAACCGGACAACATGTGAGCAACATGTGAAGAAAGTTGGCATCTTGTGAGCCGCGAAGGAAACAGCCACCATACTGTGGCCAGAAGAATGCCGACCTTGATCATACTAGCAATGTTGCTGCTTCTGTCAGGTCCTGGCTGGTGTGACCCTGGATATACGTGCTGGAAAGACAACAGCAGTTGTCGGCAAGAGTGGGTGTGGAAAGTCCACCCTGAGTGGCCCGGCTGAGTTCTTGTTCATTTCTGAATTTTACCCTTCTCGTGCAAAAATTATGCCCACGTAGTCGTATAGCTATCACTCTCAACTTTGCTGACATCATGTCAGAATCATGTGATGGTCCAGCTGGAAGACAAAACTTGAGCGGCTCACATCACCGCGAGCATCGGGACTAGTATTACAACCGCTGCCTGTTGGAATCTGAACCTGTGATTAACTTCGAGACTACTCTCTACGACTTTCCGGCCAGTGACAGCCACCGGCCAAGGCAAGCTGGTGCTGCGTTTCTATGATCCGCAGGGCGGCGCGTGGCCCGGCATCCCTAAACCCTAAACCCTAAACCCTAAACCCCTAAAACCCTAAACCCTACAAAGGGACGAAGGGACTGAGGGCTCCGAGTGGTTCAAGGGTTGGGTTTTCGCGGGCGCTCCACTACAACGAGCCATGGACGACCGCATCTCTGTTGGACTTCAGTTCCGGTAGCTTGGGTTGACGACCGAAACTGTCAGATTTCAGAAGACGGTTGATGTGGAAAGATGCGGGCTAGAGCTGCTAGTGGCGAGACGCATAAAATGGACCTGAGTCATGGTGCGAGAAGTTCTGCCATCTTTGTGATTATTCACATGACGAGGGGTCTGCTCCAGAAGACGTCGGTGACAGCATTGGCAAGTAGTACGGCGGCATGGGCTGCTCCAGATGTTTCTCATTGCTGCTGCTTCTGCTGCTGCTTTCAGCGTACTTTTCTTCATGATGTTTTATAGAAATTGGCAGCGAAGTGAGCACTTCACTTGCGAGTCTTCCCTCCAGTACTAAGGGCACCATCAGCTAGATCAATAGTGACGTTTAATATAAACCTGGGGCCTATGTCTTTGCACCTTGATGCCAGCCGTCAAGCCTTACATCTAAATCGATCATTTGGCGATTCCATTCACTATCTCAGCCCTTCAAACTGCAAGAGACAAGGCTTCTTCCGCAGTCGCCGAAGGCCTCGACCCTACGTCCTGTGGCCTCCCCTCCATCTGATCTTGACGTTAAGAGTCGGCAAGCTGAAGTCCATAATACTTGAAACATCTGCCTAGCCTCCACAGTACTACAGACAGCCAAGAATCGCTTGAGCCCAGGGTTTTCCTGAATGCCACGGAGCTGCAACGCATGCACCTCCGGCAGTACCGCAACAAAGTTGGTGTGGTGTCGCAGGACTGCCCTGCTTTCCAAATTAAGCTTGAAAGTGCGAGACGCAGGAGAAGGCCGCTGAACAAGCCTCCTACTTCGTTTGCGCATGTCTGTTATGCCATTCACGCACACGAATCTAAAGGACACGCAGCTGTTCCGGATGACAGTGACAGAGAGCCTTGGAATGCAGACTAGCTCGCCGTAGAGGTGTGGCTGGTCGGGTGATTGCAAAACTAAGTCCTGCTCCGAGAGTTTATGTGCGTGTGTGCGCTCTGTCCCATACCCCTCTCAGCAAGTCTGCTGAGACTACCCCTGGCCCATTTTGCTGCGTTCTAGGGTTCTTCAAACCACGTTTCTGGCACCAGGGTTCGAATTTGCCCTTACCCAATGAAACTTCTCTTTGCGAGAGTGGAGTGTTTGCCCTGCTGTTTCTGCACTCTGTCTCTCGGTCTCGCTGTCGCTCTGTCTCTGTGTCTCTTTGTGTCTCTCTCTCTCTCTCTTCTCTCTCTCTCTCTATCTCAATCCATTTGTTTGCCGACCTGCCAACCTATTTGAATATCTGCTTATCTCTGTATCTATCTATCTATCTATCCATCTATCTATTATCTATCTATTTATCTGTCTATCTACCTGCCTATCTACGTATCTACCTATCGACTCATCTACCTACCTACCTACCTACCTCCCTCCCTCCCTCCCTCCCTACCTACCTACCTACCTACCTGCCTACCTACCTACCTACCTACCTACCTACCTACCTACCTACCTACCTCACCCACCTACCCCACCCCCCTACAATCTATCTTTCTATCTATCTATCAATCTCTCCATGTCTCTGTCTCTCTGTCTTTCCCTCTATCTCTCTATCTCTCGCTCTATCTCTGTATCTGTCTATCTCTCTATCTCTCTCTGTCTCTCTATCTATGTATCTATCTTTCTATCTGTCTATCTATCCATCCATCGATCCATCGATTTATCTATCTATCTATCTATCTATCTATCTATCTACCTGTCATATTATCTATCATATCTATCTATCTATCTCTCTTCTATCGATCTCTTGATCTCTCTATCTCTCCGTCTCTCTATCTCTCTATGTCTCTCTCTATTTATCTATCAAGCTATCAAGCTATCTATCTATCAATTAGCTAGCTAGCTAGCTAGCTAGCTAGCTATCTATCGTCTATCTTCCATACTGCGCCCACCCTTTTGTTTTTTGGTGCGAGAGGAAGCGCCTCGCAAGCCCAGCGGCAGGGTCCGTTGTGCAGAAGTACCAGCATTTCGGGGTTGTCGCTTCCTTCAACCCCCAAGCGCTTAAACGCTAGTGAGGTCATGGACGTGACAAAATGGGTTTATCGCTTGTCTCGGCAACTTTGAAGGAACATCACATATGGTCTCCGAGCGACGGAGTACACCATGGAGGACCCTAGCCCCTTCTCACGATTTCACGTCTGGATATGTCTGGTTCTTCTGCGTAGGTCGAGGAACATGATCTCGGCCTCCTGTTGCAGCGGCAGACGGGCAAGTTGCTTGCAGGGCTCTTGTTGCTATCATCAAGAAAACCTTTCCGTCTCTTCGGTTTGAGTCCCCACTCTGTGCTGCAAAGATATATAATGCAACAGCGAGCGTCTTAAGCACGCAAGAAGCTTCCGGCAGATGCCAAGGGCCGCAGGATCGCGGAAACACCAGACGATCAACATACATAGAGGGTGGACAGTCTGAGTGCTGTAGGTGTGAGGCGCTGGGTGTTCTCGTCTTCGATTTCGGTTGGCACGATTACCAATGCTTGAGCCCTGTTGCAGGATGTGGAGCGAGCAGCCAAGCTTGCAAACGCGGACGAGTTCATCCGGGCACTGCCGGAAGGGCGACTTGCCACCAAGGGCTTCATTGATTGCCCCACATGGAAATGAAGACAGTAATAAACGCAAATGATACGCGGACATGTGTATATATATATATATGTACATATATATATATATAGGTATGTACATATATGTATATATCCCCCTCTCTCTCTCGCTCCTCTTTCGCTCTCTCTTTCTCGCTCTCTCTCTCTCTCTCTT